TCTGGGGAGATGAGCTAATTACTTTCCTTTTTGCCTCCAGATAACTAATTTTTTCTAGCGTCCTCACTCTTTGGATGGCAACTTCTTCCTTCATCCGCGCAGTATATTCAGATAAGAGATAGACCGGACATAAACAAGACCACGTGATCATCGAACGCTGTAACATTCGGCAGGGACGTATTAAGAGTTACGCAGTACATATTTTAGATAGTAGATGCTGCTTTGCGTAACTTTGTAGGAAATTAGCACAATTCGATGTGTATACGATTGGTGATGGATATAGGATCATATGGGGGTGGGGTAAGAAATATATAATGATGTAAATATACATAAGGGTTTCAAAATTTTCGCTTCGATTTCCAGCTTCGGATGCCGCCTGATGTTTGGTGAAATACAGTCGAATATAATCTCAAAATGGCGTTTAAATTAGCCTAAATTAAAAATAATCGTATATCTCTTAAACTTGCTTTTAGAATATTGATTGGTATATTTTTTGATTTCTAGGTAAACATGTAACCAAATTAAAACGTTCAAAACGTAAAAAAATGTGCATGGTTGAACATTGTCAGAAAGTAGATTCTTGAATAGGTTTTGCCAAAATGGGTTCAAAAATGTCAATAATTAATTAAAAAATACAGTAGCTTTATAATTACTTATAACTTACCGAATTTGACGAACGACATCTTTTATTGGAAAGATGAGCTTGATGAGCTTTCATCATCGCTACTGCCTGAAGCACCAACGTCAATAATGAATGGCTCGACTTGTTCCTCTAAAATATTGTCCAGTTCCCACATTCTCTTTTCAACTTTGTCTTTCACGTGCTTAATACAGTTTTCCCATTTTTGCGCTGTTATTAATTCTAGTGCTTCTTTGAAAAGTCGTTTGAGGTCACAAAATTCAAAAGTTGTATTGTGCTTAGCTATATAATTTTTAACCTCTGCCCATATGAGCTCAATGGGATTGAGCTCGCAATGGTATGGAGGTAAACGGAGCACAGTTTTATTTTGACTTGCTGCCATTTCGTCAATGGCGTATTTTTGATATTCCGCCTTGTGATCCATTTTTCGAGCGGAGCCAATTTTGAACATCAACTTTCCTTGAAGCCGTTGTTGGGACCTTCTCCATTCTTCGAGAATGATAAGGCGCATTATCCAACACAATTACTGCGTTTTCCTCTAAGTTCGGTAAAATTTTTGAAAACCACTGTACAAACGATTCGCCATTCATTTCCTCGTGGTAATCTCCAGTTTTCTTAGACTCAAAGCACCACAGACCGTCAACAACAAATCCATCCTCATTGCCAATATGGAAGATAATGAGCCTTTTCCCTTTACCTGGAAATCGAAGTACTAACTGGTGTAGATTTATTTCAATAAGCGAACCTTTTTCAAATGTTTTCATCACATTCAGCGAAAAAACATTGAGACATGAGTATCAGATTGCTATAATTGGGATTATTTAGTCATATGAAAAGAAAGAATATTGAACGTCGTATGATTACTCAGCGCTTCACAATTTAATTTAAAGTTATAAACCTTTAAAAAATGAATGATCAGGAACCTGAAATATGCGCAAATATTAATATTAACAAATTATAACTTTATAAAGCTTAAAGTATGAATTAAAATGATTAGAAATATTAGGAACGGTACACAATATAAAACTTAGTAACTTTTTTTAAGTTTATAATATTCGACATATTTTAAGATTATATTAAAAAATTATTGAAATATCGAAAACACATAAAAACTTGGCTTAAAAAAGTTCTAACAAATGAAAATGACAATAAAACATCCACGCATTTTATCGAAAGTTATAAAAGTTTTGTTACTTGTAATATGTTTTATCTGCCCCCTGGAATTAATGTTTAGAACCTTGTTCCCAAGGTTTGAAAAACATCCGATTGTTGTCTATTACTCGTATTTACCTGCTGGATTTTTTAATCCGGTGGACAGTCCATCTAGAAAGGCCCTCCTGGATGAAGTTACAGAATCATCAACCCATACTTTACTTGTAGTGTGTCCTGCGTTTACCCACGTTTCATCAAGGTAATAAATCTTCCTGTTTTGATTTCTATATTTCCCAATTTTTGTTAAATAATCCCTCCTCCATAGCACAATTTCTTCTCTATCCAGTAGTAAACTATTGCGACCCCGTTTTTTCCATTTGAAATTTAAATGCTTCAGTAACGCATGGAAAGTTGATCGTTTGAAATTTGGCAACGTTGTATCTCCATTTACCTCCTGCAGAAGAATTCATGCACACTTCATCCAATGATTTAACAATACTTTTGCGATGTTTACTGGTCATTAGCTCAGAAAGGGTGTGATTTTTTTTGTATTGTCTTAACACATTAAACACTGATGCGCGACACACCCCAACTTTGTGAGAAACATTCACAACAATTTCTTTGATGGTTGATGCCTCGTTCTCCTCGCGCTCGATCTTATATATATATTCAAAATGACCTCTTTCATTTCTGCACTCAGGTGTCTTTTTTTAGAGCGTTTCCTAGGTGGACTACAGGAGTTTACAACTTCATCGGCAGTATCTGTACTACTGGGCATTTTGCGCAAGCAGTTGATAACAATAACAATCAATAACAAGGTATAACAATAACAACGACAAACTCAACAACTTAATAAGATAACAAACGAAAACGTCCAAAGAAATATCAAATTGCAATAATGCACACGACATACGTAACACGTCTGAACCTGAATGTGACTCTGCCTTGATACGACTGCTCTGCCGCTCGGCATAGGCATTTAATTGCGAATTGACCAATGAAGGCTCCTGTTTTACGTCGAGACGGCGGCGTTAGCGTGAAAATCACCCGAACCTTTTGTTTACATCCGGTCTATCTCTTATCTGAATATACTGTAGAATCAGCAGCATGCTGTCCTTCAGAGTTGATACATTTCTTATGTTCATTGCACGGCTCTCCTGGTTGATTGGGTTGACCACAAGTACACATTTCGGTATTAGGACATTTCTGGGATGTATGACCAAATTTCTGGCATTTGAAACACCGCAAAGGGCTTGGGTAATAAGGGCGAACATCAAGGTGGTAGAAGGCAGCTTTAATTTTATTAGGTTCTTTTTCACTTATATTGTCCTATAAATGGATGCTTCTGTTGGGCAATAAAGAACTATTATCCTGAGTTTTCACAGCTTAAGCTGGTAGTATGTGGGCCACCTCGAATGATGTTTATAGATGGTGGCTCTGGGTGGGAATGAAATTCATCATGACCCGCCCTCAATTTCCTATATCGATAAAAACTTTCTTGTAATCCGACAAGTGTCGAGGATCACTGCCTTCTGCAGTTGTATACATCTACCCTTTGGAAGGTTCAAGACTTTCAAATTCTCCGACAAAGCGTTCGTGGCCACCCCTTCCACTGATATGATGATAATAATAATAATCATTACTTCTTTTAACTTACACATCCGTGCTAATTCTATTTTGAGGTCTTGATATTTGGAGCATTTCTCAGTTTCCACGGACTTAAGATTATGCGTAAGTGGAACCGCAATATCGATTATGATTCCCGTTTGTTTCTGTTTGTCTAAAAGGACTAAATCAGGTCGATTATGCGCTATGCAGCTTTAATTTTATTAGGTTCTTTTTCAATTATATTGTCCTATAAATGGATGCTTCTGTTGGGCAATAAAGAATTATTATTATTACTATTATTATTATTATTATTATTATTTGATGCAAATAGATGTTTGTAACATAACCTCAAAATAGACTACTGACACGGAACAGTAGAAAACTATAATAATCAATAATTGTAGGAACGACTGGCGATATGGCTAAGGGCGGATATATGAAAAGCAGAGAGACACGTACTTATTAATCATGAAATCGTGGAACCTATTTGAACCATGAATATGAAATTTGGCAAGCAGGTGTTCCTAGACAGGATATGTTAGCTAATAAAGAATATTGCAACAGGACTAGATTAAGGAAACGGGGGCTGAAGGCATTCACAAGTTTGTATGAGTTTTTTGTTTTTTTGTACCTAGAGGCATAGACTTTTGATAAGAAGGTAGTTTAAAGCAGTATTTGTATATTGACATATACTGACGTCAGGAATGGATTTTGGAATAGGGCGAGGTTGAGGGAGCTGAAGGTCACTCGCAAGTTTGCTTGAAAGTCTTTGGGGTTTTCTGTTAGGTCTCTAAGAATTGGCTATAAACTAACTAGTCTAATTCTATTACAAATGTATACCTAATAACCTTTTTGAACCAGAAATTTGGCAGGACAGCATCTTTAACAATGTACTTATTTTAATTGACTAGCATTCCTGTTTACGATATTATACGCGAATGGGATATTTACAGTACCAAAAGTAGCCTATACGTTATTCGATGTCCTATTACATATGTGTTTTAAATTTCACTGTAACAAACATACACAAATAGACAATCACAAAATATCATCTAAAGAATAATAAATGAAGGATCCATCCTTTCTTTCTGTCATTGTGGATATTTACATTTTGATCTTAGGGTGGAATAATCAATAAATTAACAAAAGCATCCGAAGATATAGCACTGCATAAAAACAACGTGTTATGTTAGTTACAACTTGATGCGAAGTTCGGGATAACAGCTAGTAGGTATAGGTATAGAGGCTGCAAATACCTACAAATAATTATGAAAGATGATCTAGGTCAAACAAGTTAGGATACTTTTCCTCTATAGTAATAAGAGCTTTCGAAACTGTAAAGGATCATAATTGATTTTCACCTAGTGACAAACCGTAACTACAAATTTCTATGGTGATTTGATTCTTCGAGATTTTCTCACAACCTTGCGTACCACATTGTGAATATACTAGACGTTACTGGCTTCATGAATGTAACTTGTCTTATGAATGCCGACACAGTGCAAATTACAGCAAACCTGATGCTTAACTTGATACTCTTGATAGGATAATTGGTCTGTGATTCTGTTTATTTGCTTTGAAAAACTGAACACTTTGCTAATCACCAGCCGCGCGACGTGGTGCTAATTGGGAACATCACGCTTTCCATGTCAACACAGATTTGTGATATGCCTGAAAATATTATCTATAAAAATTATATCCGGTTCTCACCTTATCTATAATATTTCTAAGAAGGCTGGTAAAAATATGCCGATATACGTGTATAAAGGAAATGACGGTGTTATGGGCTGAGGAACTGAAGTGGTTTTCTGCTTTACAAGCTTTTGTTTAAATTGACCTATTCGACAATAGTTAGTAGTAGTAATTTGAAGAGAGAAACGCAATAAGAATAGAGACATCACTCTAAGTACAATATGGCGGCCGTCGAAAAATGGAGACTTACAATTGTCACAGACATGGATGTCAAATAAAAGGGCTGTATGAGAGAAACGCAATAAGCAAAGTGGGATCATCAAATATAGCGACTGCGCCAAGAAGTCGTGGGTCATGCCTATGATATAGGTATCAGAATGAAGAGCTTAAAGACAGAAACATAACATGGCAAGGTGGTATCATTATAAATCCAATATGGGTATAAAATTTAAGGGCTTTCGAGAGAAACAGGATAAGCAAATGACGTCATTCTAAATTCCAAAATATCGATTTATAATAACTTATATCTACCGAAATTTTATAATATAAATATCACATTAATAAAAAAGATGAAAGTTATGTAGAAATTACCGAATTAGCTATTTGACATCATTCATGCTAAAAAGTAAAAAATAAAAAATACATTTTTAGAAACAAGCTTTTATTTATTTTAAGAATTTAATTTAAGAATATTGTTTTCCGATTGTAAGTATTTAAGCGATATTAATTATCGCTCCTTCAATCCGTTTGCAAATAAAAGAATGCTACGTTTTGACAACAGATTCTAAAAAGGGTGCAAAACACTTTTATTTTTAAATGAGAAGAGAGGCTTCATTATCATTCAAATATTCACAGTTGGAAAAAATGTTTTTGTATTTTTAGTTTATTTTATGTAATATCACAGCAACGGACCGTCAAGTCACACATGTATGTTATGTCAATGTCCATCCTTTGAAAAAGCCGATCCAAATAATATGAAAAGGAGTACATATGAAAAAAGTGAGAATTTAAGAATATTTTTGTCCGACTGGAAGTATTTAATCGATATTAATTATCACTCCTCCATTTCGTTTTCAAATAAAATAATGCCACGTTTTGACAACAGATTTTAAAAAAGGTGTAAAACGCTTTTATTTTTAAATGAGATGAAAAAACTTCATTATCATTTAAATATTTACAATTCGAAAAAATGTTTTTGTATTTTTAGCTTATTTTATGAACCGCTGAATAAAACCTTGTTTTTAACAATGTACTTTTTTATTTTATATATAAGAAATATTTCAAATAAAACAAAATTCAAAAATGAAAACAAAAAATGTATAATTGAAAAAAATCGACATCAAATTGCAAACATGATCCGTATGAAAGAAATTTAAAATTAATGAAGTAAGTGTAAGGAGAAGGTAGGCTTTGGACTGACCTCGCAAATAACAAAAAGTTACCTATATAAAAGTGTCACCGTTTTTAAGATATTGAATTTTTTTTAAATTTTAATAAACGAACCTTTTCATCTGTGGTCTTTAGCTGCATGTATAAATAAGGTTATACTTTGTACATTTTTTTCTATAAAAACAATTGAATATTCGCATAGCTACTTATGAAACACGCCATTCCATGAAACATTTTCAAGATTATAAATTGTAAATTTTTGGAATGAAGTCACGATTTTATTTATTTAATTTTGTGACATAGAGTAAGTTAAGTATATTCAATTTCAAATAAAGGTCAAACCCAAAAAAATAGCAACATATCAACACCGCATGGTACACTAGCTTTTCTATTTTTGAATGTTTGTCCCGTTTAGCAAGTAATACAATGCAGTATCATAATAACTATATCTATACGTACCATTGACTCCGAAATCCATTTTTTACTAAATATCCACTATAACATCAAACATTTACAGCAGTACAAGATTTCCGGAAAAGGCAAATTTATCATTCCTGTCCCTGCTCAATACCCCGTACCACTTCCTTCTAATTCCTCTATGTTTTGCCACGGGCAAACATGATTTTCTAAGACTGTATTTGCACAACTAGGTACAATACAGTATTTGTAAATCGATGGTCTGACCCATTTCTTACCCATTTGAAATGTGTGTAAATGGTGCGAAGCGTGCATGTCGGGTGCATCGCTTTGTGGTAGCGATGGTAGATGTGTCATGTGACGACATCGCTCAGCATCACGATGATTCTCCAAATAAGAAACTTCTGGGCAGCGTAACTGTCATTTTTTGAGATATTCAAAAAAATGTCTTCAGTGCTGTGCTTCACTTTACATAGACCATACACTTTGAGTGGGTTTCAAAAAATAGGAAACTTCCTCATTCTTTAGTCTTCAATACTTTAGTGAAATCCTAACCCAGAAAACATCCCCGTACGGTCTTTTTAGCCGTAATCCGCCTACAGTGTTATTTTGAGCACATAAGAAGACTTCAACGTTTTGTCCACGATGTTAGTAAAAATCATTTTATTACTGTTTCCCTGTGTATTCCCTATCATATATTGAATTATAACTCTACGAAAATACTTTTTATTATTATTTTATAGATATTGTTTTAGTTGTAAATAGGTATTAGGTACGATATGTAATATAAATGTTCGAATTAAGCCACGATATGCCATACAGAAAAAAATCTTCCAGACAAGGTGTCGGTGATACAAATCGCTAAAAATAAAATCTATTATTAGCATTATCACTTAAAATCGATTACCTTTCATATTCCAAAATGATGTACAGATGCTTGTGAATTGAATACACGTTGATAATAATTTCAACCGCACACTCAATCCCGGACCTGTTCCATTTTGCTTAAGAAGGTAGAGTTCGATAGAGTCGTATTGTTTGCTAATGATTGAATGTATACAGGGTGAATTATCTTTTTGAGGTAGGATTAGCGCGATAAGTTCAAGCTTATCGCAAATTGTTGGACACACAGCTATGTTATACCTTAGTAACAATTTCAGGTATACTAAGACTAGCGTTTATATTTTTGAATGAAGATCAAAACATTAAACGTGTACATGAAATTAAACAACAATTGCCTTCCTGGTTACTCTGTAGATTGTAGTCCAACTTGATTGAGTACCTTTGAAGGAAAGATCTAATTCATATTCTCCCAGCCGACTGATGGGCCGTATGTTTATTTCTTCCGGATTTTTGCTTATGGTTTGTTATTGTATCCCAAATACGGATATATTTTGCTTCGCTAACGCAAGCTCAAACTGTTGTGTCTTATATTATTCTCTCACAAGAAAACAACATAGTGTTATCGAGGTGTCGAAGTACTATTTCTCGGATTTCAGATCAATGAATAATGCAAATGCAGCATTAGTAGTCGATGATTGCTTGACAGTCAACCGGTATCTTCCAACAACAGTTCAGGACCGATGTTCTCGTTCCTTAGCTTTGTTTAATCAGCCTGGCATATCTTGGCATAGATGGGAGCCTGTATTTCTGTAGGAGAGCCTTGTAGGACATTTCCTATGAGAATTTCTGGAACTTCTGTTGAATTTTGATAAAACTCAAAAAGCGATTTTTGGCCTCACACTATTTTTTTGGTTTCTCTATGCCAACGAGACATTGACCCGTTATTCAGGGACTCTCCCTGATTTTTTTTTAAATCTTGCATTTCTTTAGATTAGGGAAAATTGCATAAGACGCTGTAATAGAAGCATAGAAAATAAATATTAAATCTCCTTGAAGGCATTACCTAAATAAATAAATAAACTTATTTAGAATACAGCTTTCAGATTAGGTTGTTTTAGAAATACTGTGAGCCATGGTTGTATCCTGGGTAGCGAGTATAAATTGCCAAAGACAATAAGAGTAATACAATTAAAAATATTGCCAACACATTCTGGATTGAGACGGATGACTGGCTGAAAATTACAATACGATTTCTGCCAACGGCAAGTTAGTTGTACCCACTAGCAAAGAAACGCAAGGAAGACTTTCTAAAAAAATAATGTAGGATTCATATAAGTATGTTTGTACTACATTATAACTGTAGATTAGCTTTCTTTACTGACATTATAATACATAGAGAATCAATTGCTTCGTAATAAAAGCAACAGTGTTTCTATTATGTTTATTTTTTGTTAGCTTAGCAATCACAAGTATCGCGTGCGATCTAGAATGCACAATGGTTGCAGCATTCCAAGTTTTACACATCCCGTTTTGTAGATGGTATAGTTTTATTAAATTACAATCCAAGCATTGAAATTAACACCAACAAAAAATGGTATGCCACAGTAACTAATTTACTGAGAATTTAACTATTCAGAAACATCCTGGATATAAAAATAAAAACCCAGACAGCGATAATCAAAATACCAACTAGAAGAAAAGACAAATTTGATGTCACCTGCTTTGAAAAAGAGCATGGTTGCCGAAACGTCAGTAGTAAGAAGTAATTCAAACATATGAGGTTTGATTTAGTTGTCAACCATGGATTTGCATCAGCATGAACACCACAGGATAAGTTTCAAGTATTATATTACTAAACATGCAATTTAAAACTTTACATGTTGATGTCATTTAAATTGTGCAATGAAAAGTGGAAAATTATAATCACCTGACAATTATAGTTTGTCACTAGAATAAAAAACTTGCATTCAGAAGTCTGGCTTTTCATTTTTTTTCACGATTTCTTAAATATAATATATAATGTAAACAATGGCTGGGTCTTCCCAGGTTACAGATTCCATACTTAACATGGTGTGTTCGAACTTTTAAAAAATACCGTCAAGTGAGTTGTCTCTGAACTGCCCACGCAACGCTGTCATCAGTTCTTGAAGGATTACCATATGTATGGCACACAAGTAAGCCCTTCTGCGAAAGAAGTTAGCTACGAACATGTATATAAAAAAATTAAATTACCTTCCTCCTCCTCCTGAGAGAAATTCCTGCAGGCGCACATGATTGTTGCGATGACCAATCCCGCGTAAATGACGATATTGGCCTTCACCGTCCACAGT